ATTCGCTTTCACCGAGGCAATAGCCGAGATCGTGGACACGGTGAACGAATAAAACCGCGCCGTACGTCTCCCGTCAGGAGCCGTGCTCTCTCCAATAATTCGCTTTCACCGAGGCAATAGCCGAGATCGTGGACACGGTGAACGAATAAAACCGCGCCGTACGTCTCCCGTCAGGGGCCGTGCTCTCTCCAATAATTCGCTTTCACCGAGGCAATAGCCGAGATCGTGGACACGGTGAACGAATAAAACCGCGCCGTACGTCTCCCGTCAGGGGCCGTGCTCTCTCCAATAATTCGCTTTCACCGAGGCAATAGCCGAGATCGTGGACACGGTGAAGGAATAAAACCGCGCCGTACGTGTCCCGTCAGGGGCCGTGCTCTCTCCAATAATTCGCTTTCACCGAGGCAATAGCCGAGATCGTGGACACGGTGAACGAATAAAACCGCGCCGTACGTCTCCCGTCAGGAGCCGTGCTCTCTCCAATAATTCGCTTTCACCGAGGCAATAGCCGAGATCGTGGACACGGTGAACGAATAAAACCGCGCCGTACGTCTCCCGTCAGGGGCCGTGCTCTCTCCAATAATTCGCTTTCACCGAGGCAATAGCCGAGATCGTGGACACGGTGAACGAATAAAACCGCGCCGTACGTCTCCCGTCAGGGGCCGTGCTCTCTCCAATAATTCGCTTTCACCGAGGCAATAGCCGAGATCGTGGACACGGTGAACGAATAAAACCGCGCCGTACGTCTCCCGTCAGGGGCCATGCTCTCTCCAATAATTCGCTTTCACCGAGGCAATAGCCGAGATCGTGGACACGGTGAACGAATAAAACCGCGCCGTACGTCTCCCGTCAGGGGCCGTGCTCTCTCCAATAATTCGCTTTCACCGAGGCAATAGCCGAGATCGTGGACACGGTGAACGAATAAAACCGCGCCGTACGTCTCCCGTCAGGAGCCGTGCTCTCTCCAATAATTCGCTTTCACCGAGGCAATAGCCGAGATCGTGGACACGGTGAACGAATAAAACCGCGCCGTACGTCTCCCGTCAGGGGCCGTGCTCTCTCCAATAATTCGCTTTCACCGAGGCAATAGCCGAGATCGTGGACAAGGTGAACGAATAAAACCGCGCCGTACGTCTCCCGTCAGGAGCCGTGCTCTCTCCAATAATTCGCTTTCACCGAGGCAATAGCCGAGATCGTGGACACGGTGAACGAATAAAACCGCGCCGTACGTCTCCCGTCAGGAGCCGTGCTCTCTCCAATAATTCGCTTTCACCGAGGCAATAGCCGAGATCGTGGACACGGTGAACGAATAAAACCGCGCCGTACGTCTCCCGTCAGGGGCCGTGCTCTCTCCAATAATTCGCTTTCACCGAGGCAATAGCCGAGATCGTGGACACGGTGAACGAATAAAACCGCGCCGTACGTCTCCCGTCAGGGGCCGTGCTCTCTCCAATAATTCGCTTTCACCGAGGCAATAGCCGAGATCGTGGGCACGGTGAACGAATAAAACCGCGCCGTACGTCTCCCGTCAGGGGCCGTGCTCTCTCCAATAATTCGCTTTCACCGCGGCAATAGCCGAGATCGTGGACACGGTGAACGAATAAAACCGCGCCGTACGTCTCCCGTCAGGGGCCGTGCTCTCTCCAATAATTGGCTTTCACCGAGGCAATAGCCGAGATCGTGGACACGGTGAACGAATAAAACCGCGCCGTACGTCTCCCGTCAGGGGCCGTGCTCTCTCCAATAATTGGCTTTCACCGAGGCAATAGCCGAGATCGTGGACACGGTGAACGAATAAAACCGCGCCGTACGTCTCCCGTCAGGGGCCGTGCTCTCTCCAATAATTGGCTTTCACCGAGGCAATAGCCGAGATCGTGGACACGGTGAACGAATAAAACCGCGCCGTACGTCTCCCGTCAGGGGCCTTGCTCTCTCCAATAATTGGCTTTCACCGAGGCAATAGCCGAGATCATGGACACGGTGAACGAATAAAACCGCGCCGTACGTCTCCCGTCAGGGGCCGTGCTCTCTCCAATAATTGGCTTTCACCGAGGCAATAGCCGAGATCGTGGACACGGTGAACGAATAAAACCGCGCCGTACGTCTCCCGTCAGGGGCCGTGCTCTCTCCAATAATTCGCTTTCACCGAGGCAATAGCCGAGATCGTGGACACGGTGAACGAATAAAACCGCGCCGTACGTCTCCCGTCAGGGGCCGTGCTCTCTCCAATAATTCGCTTTCACCGAGGCAATAGCCGAGATCGTGGACACGGTGAACGAATAAAACCGCGCCGTACGTCTCCCGTCAGGGGCCGTGCTCTCTCCAATAATTCGCTTTCACCGAGGCAATAGCCGAGATCGTAGACACGGTGAACGAATAAAACCGCGCCGTACGTCTCCCGTCAGGGGCCGTGCTCTCTCCAATAATTCGCTTTCACCGAGGCAATAGCCGAGATCGTGGACACGGTGAACGAATAAAACCGCGCCGTACGTCTCCCGTCAGGGGCCGTGCTCTCTCCAATAATTCGCTTTCACCGAGGCAATAGCCGAGATCGTGGACACGGTGAACGAATAAAACCGCGCCGTACGTCTCCCGTCAGGGGCCGTGCTCTCTCCAATAATTCGCTTTCACCGAGGCAATAGCCGAGATCGTGGACACGGTGAACGAATAAAACCGCGCCGTACGTCTCCCGTCAGGGGCCGTGCTCTCTCCAATAATTGGCTTTCACCGAGGCAATAGCCGAGATCGTGGACACGGTGAACGAATAAAACCGCGCCGTACGTCTCCCGTCAGGGTCCGTGCTCTCTCCAATAATTGGCTTTCACCGAGGCAATAGCCGAGATCGTGGACACGGTGAACGAATAAAACCGCGCCGTACGTCTCCCGTCAGGGGCCGTGCTCTCTCCAACATTTCGCTTTCACCGTGGCAATAGCCGAGATCGTGGACACGGTGAACGAATAAAACCGCGCCG